AAACACGATCAGCCTGGGATTGTGATTCATATTCCTATGATGAAAACAACATTGCTCTTGTCAGCTACATTTGACGTGCCTGTGTGCTCACATAAGTTGTGTAGATTAACCCCGAAATATTTGACAAACCAAATCAATTTTTTTTGGCGAGAGATTTGTGGCTATTTTATTATTTTATCCCCGACCACACCTTGACCAAAATCATTCCGAACATGCAAATGAAACATGTCACAAGCTACATTTGAAGCTTTATAGCAGATGGTGTTGTGGGTAGGAGGAACTTGTTTTTGCAGAGTCTCCTCATTATGGTCAGTTGTGGTGAAGATGGTAGGTGGAGGGCGACTGAGGAAAATCGAGCTGGAAGGATGCCTGTTTTTGTGGGACATGCTGTGTGGTTAATCTGGAGCATAATGATGCTGGAGAAGATGCCATGGGAGTTTGGTGCCAGCGCTGGCGGTGTCTGTGTTTAATAGGACGTCACTGCATCATATCCTGCCATGAAGGAATGCAATTATTTTTTGTCCTGCAGATGCAGAACAGCAGATCAGCAAGACTTGCTTATAGTGACCACAGGATATTATCACTCAGCTCTGCATTCTTTTTTTTAATTTTTGCATTAACCTCAAAGGAGCATCTTTTAATTCCACCTTTAAAACATTTAATTACCTTAATGCATATGTAACTTTGAGATCTAGTCTTACAGACCAACTTGTCATCAGGCTACTGTCACAGTTTAAACTTTTGTTGTCATAATCCAAAATGCTGCGATAAATGAGCAGTTGTGAGATTTCAGTGACGTCATAGTATATGATTAGTGACAAAACACTATGACCATATACATAACTGTCATAAACCTAAACTCCAGTAAGTGCAGAGAGTGTCTGCTCATGTCCTTGATCAGTTACCGAAAATATATCCAATTTCATTTAGCAGCAGTTATCATAAAAAGATATATTGTTACTCTCCTCCAGTTTGGAAGCAAATATGATTATTCAGGATTACCCCACCCCCCCCACCATGGGTTTGCATATCTGGGCTCAGCTTTCCTAAATGTAATATATATTAAAAAGCCATTATCAAGCAGCAAATTCAAATGTGCCAACACGTTTGGATGCCGGGTTCTTTGAGAACTGCTGAACAGGAGCTCGATATAAAGTCTCTGACCTCTGGGGAAATGGTAATTTAAGCGTACGGTCAGAGAAGAGGAGAAAGAAGAGGCCCCAGTTCAGACTGACATTTTTGTTTATATTTATTTCATTTTCTGTCTGCACTCCGGAAGAGAAAACAGTTATCACCTGGCTTTGGGGAAAACAGGCATCTGTATTTGTTTGCTCTGCTCAAATCATTTTTGATCTTCCCTACCATGATGAAAAGAGATTCTGGCACATTTGCAGGAGGGTGAAAGCTGTAGATTTATTCACAGCCATGAGTCATCTGCTACATTAGAGATGCTCTACACCAACAAAAGCACACCACTATTGTTACTGTAAAGGCCACGGTCTGTGGACAGCAGTTACAATATCTGTTTGTATTCCAAAAAACCATTCTCTGCCATAGAAACTGTGGAAATTAGTATTCACCTCAAAAATCAATTACTGCACCACTACTGCAGCCAAGGCAGGGTGAAATTACATTTGGACTTTAGGAGCAGAGTGTGTGGGTGAGGCCGAATAATGACAATTAGTACGCTTCGACATGCATGTCCACATTAAAACTCATACAGTATATTGATGGATTAATCTCGTCTTGTTGGCATTTTCCAGAGAATCAAACCTCAGAAGGCTTCCAGAACATCTCAGAAGTATGGAGTTGTCCGACTTGTTTGATTATACAGCAGCTACGTGTGTTTGGCAGCCAGATGGACAGCGAGGAACAGCCCAGATTCTCATCACCAGACACATCAATCTTAGGTGTGTGAACGGAGGGGAGACGAGGACAGGCTGAGACACTCCTCTCTATACCCAACAAAGGGGGATGATGGATGTTGGAGAAACTCTGATGCCATGTCAGGGCAGGGCCTTCTGACATGTTTGGTCTACAGCTTAAACAGACTAAACGCTGACATCCCAGAAATAGTGCATCTTAAAATAACGATTCTGATCAAGTTCTGTGCTGTATGTTTCTCCTGGGTTCAGTTTCCGTCGGCAGGTTTGGTCCATGAAAGCAAACACACCAGGTAAAGAAAACAATTACTGAGTTGTAAAACAGATTCAAACAGGCAGACACTTCTTCATCTTCTACTCTTCATTTATAAACCATAGTGCCTCATCCTGTTATATTAACCAGAGTTTTCTTAAGCAATAACAAAGTGTCCCACCAATCTATAGAAAATATTGTTTTATCTATTCTATTTATTTCCTGTTTGTGTCTTTGGGGAAGCTGAAGCATTGAACAAGATTGATTTGAAATACATGATGTAGTTTTCATATGTCATTTGCATATTCTGTTACTTCTTAACCAATGTCAGAAACCAAACAGGATTTGTTTCTGTGCCAAAACAAGATATACATTTGTAAAGCATTTAGTTGGATCTCCACCCGGTGGAGAGCCAACGCCTGAACTGCACAGTTTGGGCTGCTCTAGTGTTCAGCAGCAAAATCTGTTGTTTCTATTCTAATAGTCAGAAAAACAGCTTATTGCCCTCTAGGTTTACAATAACTTTTTTTTATTAGAAATGAATAGGGAATACTAATATGCTTATTTGTACCCTGATATAGGAGTGTTGATACGTGAATCTGCCACCAGGGGGCATCTAATATACTGCCTCCTTACCCACAACTACAGTGAGGCAGTATATTATCATCATTTACATGTCATGTTGAATGTTAGATTTGCATAACTCAGTATTTTGCTTTAAATGGTGAATAAATTACCATCTAATTAAACACAAAGTCATTGTGCATGCTTACATTTTAAGATCAGTGCAGCAATAATGTTACTGTTTGAGAAATGATCAAAGCCTCCGTTACAGAATTAATCTTGTTCTAAATGAAAGCCACGTTTCAATGTAAACTCCAATCCATCACCATTGAGAATGAGGCAGAATTACCAGGCGTAATATGGTGCAGCTAATGAAACAACCAGAGCAGGATCGGTTCATCTCAGAGCCCCCTGAACTGCACCAGAATCTCCCACAATCCGTGTTTTATTGCCACTCATTAATGGAGCGAGACAGAGCTTTGCTATAATTGAAAGTTAACCACTGGGTGTGTTTGCACCGTCTCAAACATTTGTCATGTCGTTTAATGATTAAAATGGACCAAAGGGTTGTGATTCTGCAAAGTGTAATTAGACTTTGAACAAATGAATTGTTTACACAATCATAATATATTGGTAAAAACTCTAAAACAGCTTTAAAGGAAGAGGAGCAGGAGCTTATACCACATAAAATATGCGGCTTTGAGGTAATGCATGATGTTTGCTTTGATTAAAAAATGTTCATATGTGTCAATCAGCCATTATGTAAACTGTAAACGTCATGCATCAGATTCAACACACCTTTTGCTCTGCTTTTTTCCTGCACTTTTTCCAATATGCTCTTACTTTTATCTTTATTGATTAAAAAGTGCAGGGAGGAGAGAACATTTTACCTCAAAGGGCAGGAAGTCGAAATAAGCTTAAATGAATAAGCCTAAATTTCCATCATAAGCAGTGGTGATGGTTTTAAAGATTAGGTAGAGTACGTACTGTGAGGACGACAGCCTCTCTCATATTGCTTCCTAACAGATGATTTAGCTTTGGTTCTTAATGGCAAAAGGGCCTGTGCAGATGTATTACCTTTTACTGCTATTTATAGCTGAGCCAGATTGGTGAGCAGCTTCCTTTAATATCGTCTATAAATATTTATTGCCCGAAAAAAACGACATGCAGTGCCTCAACTGAACAAAGCAGTTTTGGGGCAGTCAGGATTTTCTAGAAACACAGGGTACTTTGGAATTAACAGCCATCGGAGGGGTTACAGACAATTTATCTTGTGGTACATAAAGTTTATTATCTGTGAATACTAAACTGCTTGTATTGACCCAGAGGAAAATAAAATCCTCCTCAATAACCGAGCTGAGGGAGAAGATGTGTTTCTGCACAATGTCAATGTATCCAATCAGGTTCCCTCATTTATAGTGTGTAGTTCACTAGGATTACATAATTGCTGACACCGTTGCTGATTCACGACTTGTAAACCCGCAGCTCGCTCTGCTGCAGCGATGCTTTCATTAACCTGCCACAGTAACATTTTGCTGCTCCGAGATTGCTTCCTTCCTGATTTGAGGCTATACCAAAGCGACCGACATAGGCTGAGGGCCCTGCGAAGTATTTGCAGATAAGAACGGAAGAACGGCAGCAGTAGTGCTTAAAGGAAGGAAGGCCGAGAGATAGAGAAAGAAAGTGCACTGAGAGAAAGTGAAGAGAAAGTGTCTGTTTTTTTTGGCCGCAGCATTGTTGTGCTTCTGTCACAGTAATCATAGGGGCAATAATGTGCACTAAAGTCTATTGTGTTATTTTTTGTCAAGGCTACTCCTGTTTTTATGGTCACCATCACTTCTGGGATTAGCCTCACATGGGTGTGGTTTCTCATTATTTACCTGTTCACTTGTATGATGGGACCCAGACAAAGAGGGGGAGTATGGCTTCGATATATTCCAGTACAGCAGTTTATAGTCTGTTTTTTTTAATCAAAATATAAAATGTATTTGGCCCCCAGTATGAATTTGTGTAAATACAAATGTATTTGTCACAAGACTCTGTTTAATGATGATACAGTTTGCAGACATGCAGTTAAAGAAGTTGCAATCAACACATTTTGAGCTGGTTAAGTGTTGAAATAACACACAGCACATTTATTCACTGAAAAGAGCAGCAAGAAATGGCTTAATACTTTATAAAATTCTGTATATTTTATCACAAATGTGTTTGTCACATCAGAAAATGTCACTGTCATAATGTATTACTTATACAAAACATATTAAATACATACCGTATCAAAACACCAGTGCAGTAGTAATAAATGTCATCAACAATATACAGTAAAAACACATTTTAAAAAAATCCTACAAATACGAGATGTATTTAAGATTCTTCCAATCACAACAAATGTGATCTGTCGTTTGTTTGGCACAGGCAGTTCAATACTTTGTAGTTTCCGTTACAGGCTCGTCCCTGTGAGCATCTGTGAGACGCCTACGCCTGCATGAATGATGGATATTTTCTTTTCCGTCTCATGCGTCGAATTTTTCTTTGGCTTCTGTACTTTTTCTCTCCTGGAACATAAAAAAGTGTTTGACAGCTGATTAGTATGATGTCCTCTGATTCTGTTGCTTGTTTACTTTCTTTACAGTCAGATTTTCTTTGGTTTCCTCTCAGTCAGAATTTAATGATTGGATGTAGTGCATAAATGGCTTGGACGAGTGTCTGCTAATGGTTTCTTCACAAGCCAACCAGTTTTGAAAGCCTCTAATGAAATCAGAGTGTTATTTGGGCGCTACCTGAATTCCCCCCTGACTTTCTGAATTCTCTCTAAATTTAAACCAACAAGTAGTTGATAAGAACCATATTGTAATTACAGAATTAAGAAGTCTGCTAATTATCCTCAAACTCTCATCTTCAGGTACAGGCTTTGTATTACCACACATGCGTTCCCATGTTCATGCTCACACACCTTTAACACACACGTCCATGCAGCTCTGCCTGGAGACAAAGTTGTTGCTGGTGCCTCCACAGCCTGAGTAGGTGAACTCCTCGCATATCTTCTTTGCAGTGTTGTAGTAATACCGGGTAATAGAGGCCGAGCATTTCCCTCCGTCCAGTGGGTCCAGGCAGAGCACGGGAACGGCTGGAGAATAAACCACAAAGCACACAATGAGACCGACAATAATTGTGTTTGAGGAGAAACAACAACAAAAAAGTTTTTGATTCTTAGCTGATTTTATCGGGTTACTCATTCATTTCCTTTTGACTGAAATATCTTTATCTATTGTGCATTAACACAAATGCCTGATGAAGTATTCTTTTCATAGGATTATGTAGTTCTTTCTTAGTAGTACTACTAAATGACACCTGTAATGGTTGTTTTTAGAGAGAGCCCCTGTATATTATGTCAGTGGCAGCACAATTGTTGTTGTTAGGTCTGTACTAACTTTTTTGTGGGCTGCAGTACTCCATGCAATCGGTATGGTCCTGGAAGCGATTTGAGTTCCCCCGACAGCCCCCATAATAAAAGGTCTCGCACCGCATGGTGGTCATGTTGAAGAAGTAGCGGGGCAAGAGGGCACGGCAGGGTCCTTCCTCTTTAGGAAACCTGCAGATCTGTGGAATCTCTGAGAAGGAAAAATGACTTGATTTATAAAGATGATTGGATGCACTACAAATATTCAGATTTTCTTATTTAATATCAGATCTAAGACATAAAAACACAAAAACACCCAGTGCACACAGCTTTGCAGGGGAGGTCAAGATCACCATCAGCCAAATAATTTGTGCCCCTCACTTATAGAACATACTTGGGATTCTGAAACAAGTCTTCTGGCACTCCTGATAGCTCCTGAAGTTGTTGGCATTCCCCTGGCACCCTCCATAGGAGAAAATCTCGCACTTCTGGGTGATAGTGTTGTAGTAGTAGCGCTCAATTTCTGCCTTGCAGGGTCCCTCGTCCACTTGGAGGAGACACACGCCTGAAAGCACACAACCTTATAACGTTAAGGAAACACGAAATCCGCCATAGAAACATGAGGTGGTTAAGTGCGTTGCTGCGCGTAAAGCTGCGCGTAAAGCTGCCGTCAAACTCTTAATACTGTGCGTAAAATTGTGCACACAAGTATTTTACGCGAGATTAGGTGAAGAGCAACCGTTCAAAAGCTTTTTAAAACAAAGAAAGTTCTCTCTTACCTTGAGGCGACAGCGCCAGCACGTTGTAAAAGGAGGAGAAAAGTGTAAACAGCGCTAACATGCCAAACTCCATAGTGCTACTTCTGCTCCAGCTCTGACTCTTTTCTTTTCTGCCGACGGCTTCCACTTTTATGAGTTTGCTGTCTCCCAGCGGAATTTAAGGGGCGGGGATGTAATGAGTCATTTCCATATCGACAGAGAAACCAGAGCCAAGAGGTGATGAATCCATGTGACGTCCACCCGGGACACTCTCTGTAAGGCTTACCTGAAATTCTGTAGAGAGTGGAGTGTGACTAAGTTTATTCAATGATGATGATGATTTAGGCTTTGGTGACCCAATAATCTACCGAATCCCTGTTAGTTTAGCTGTATGACAGACACTCTTGTGAAATCAGATCTTACTTGTTCAGTGCATCCTGCCAACTTCCCACCACATACTAGTCTTACTGGATCCTCACACACACACCCACACACACACACACACACACACACATACACACACACACACACACACACACAAAACCTTTTACTTGGATCTTATTGAGGGCACTTATTGGGATAATTCGTTCTCTAAACCACCTACCTGAACCTTAGCCATCACAACCAAGTGCCTAAACCTAATACCCTACCTCAACACTAACCTAAATCTAATTCTATCATCAACCCTAAAAGCAAGTCGAAGCCATAACAACTCATTGAACGTGACCCAGAAATTGCGGAACGGCCCAAAGAAATGTCACCTTGTCAGTTCAATGCTGAAAAAGTCCTCACATAGGTAACTGTACAAGGCTCTCTCTCTCTCTCTCTCTCTCTCTCTCTCTCTCTCTCTCTCCCTCTCTCACACTCTCACACTTTTATTCTAAGCACTGTCACTTCCAGCCTTCTACTCTGTGATTGCTTAATGACTGCAACCGTCTCAAGCATTTCTTCAAGGAAACAGTGATGTGTTGCACAAGTTTGCCCTTCTTCACCGCTGAAAGCAACAAATGAAATTAAATATAAGATATAGCTCCTCCCTTGGTTTTTACATATAATTCTCCTGATATGTTCCATCTATTCCTCAGGATCTAAGAATCAAACCCATCCCTACAGTGCATTTAAGCTTGTCTTTGTGTGGTTGGAAAACTGGCGGGCAGTCACCTTTAGGACAATGTGTCTCCACCTTGACAGGTGGAGGCTAAATACAGATTAGCTGTTTTATCACATGGTATCTTCCTCTAACCCATATCTGTATTTACATAGAAAACAAAGTCGCAATAGCAAAACATTTTTTATTTAATCTTCAAAATAGGGAATTCAGTTTTTTGTTTTTACTTTTAATTCAAGTACCTCAAACAGACACCAGTGTGATTCTCCCCCTCCTCACTTGAGAAACTGTCTTGATTATACAGTGGGGCATTGTTTTAATCAGATTAAATGGATTAGTTTATGCGGATTACTTTATAACCCAGATTGAGTGAGAGGGGAAGGAGTCTTCAGCAGGATTGTGGGGGTGAAGGACTGCTCCCTGTAAGCATCCGTAAGTACCTTTTTATTCGATTTTTGTTTTTAATCATGGGGTCAAATCTGTCATAAGAGTGAATATTTCCCACTTCAAAATGTTGAATGCTTCCTTGTATTTCCTTTTTTGACAGAAAATGCCGATCATTAACGTTGATGAACTGACAGACAAGGACAAGGCTGTAATGGAAGTCACCCAACTTAAACTTGAAGTGAAACTTGAGAGGTGGTTGGTAAGTTGTGGGGGTTTTTTTAATCATTGAGGGTATTTTTAAAGATAGAAGCAAATACATTTGTTTTCCAGATATTTATCCTTGACAAGCAATATTTACACAACTGTCAACCTGGATGAATGTAATTATACAGATTTGTTCTATCAGGGGCAGCATTTAAAACTGAAATTGCTGGATAACAAAATGTTTGTCTTCTTCCCTCAGACGTCAAAATGCTGTGAAGAGATGAAGGACTACATTCAGGCTGGAGAGGAGGAGGACACTCTTGTCAAAGGCATTTCAGAGGAGAAGAACCCCTTCAAGGAGAAAGGTGGCTGTGTCGTCTGCTAGACTGGACCTGAGGAGCTTTTCATAGCTCAGATTAGCACCCAAGGACATTCTCCCTCCCGTCAACAAAAAAGATTTGCAGACTGACAAGACTAGGAGAACACAATGAAGACACTATTCCAGATTTGTAGCTTCATCATTTTATCCTTTGAAAACATGCAGTGTAAAAGAAGTATCATTTATATGTAATGCTTCTCTCTCATGTGGTGTAAATAGTCTGAGCAAACTGTGTTTCATTAAACGTACTGGTGTATAACTCAACATGTCTCCATCACTCACTGCACAAGGTTTTTCATGAAGGGATATTTACATAACTCCGTTTGCATACATTTGGAGTATGTAGATTGTTGTCTCATAAATCTTTATAAGAGCGGTATCATTATTTGCCAAAGACCTTTATGTAATTTCAACAGTTTGTGAATTATCAGTACAGTTTCTGATTTTTTGATATGTTCCTCCTGTAGGTCCAGGCAGCTATTGCTTCCTATTCATTTCTGTATAAAGAAAAGACAATCCCCTTTGAAAGTAATTAGTGAACATTATGTTGTATTTGATGTCTCTTGTTTCTACTATATTTACCTTGCCTTATTTTTTTCCAATACATTTACTTTATGGTCTAATACACTTGCTTTACTTTTTAATTTAAATTGTTATTAGTGCACTTGATGTAGGGCTGGGCAAAAAAACTAACAATATCAATACAATATCATGATATATTTTCATCCATTGCAATATTTTGTTTATGTGTTGTGTAGGCACAGTGACGAGGCGTAACACAAAATGTATGTAGGTTAAAAAACGTGCTGCAAATGACACAGTTTCAAGTGGAATTTGAATGTGTGGACACTCTGATGACACCACAGTAGCAGTATGGAGGCATTTAAAGTTTTTTTCTGTTGTTTTATTACGTTTGGAGAAGTGGTCACCAGTAACTTCAATTGTTTGGGATTTGGCTCCAACACTGTTTACCCCTGGAACTCCAAAAGTGTTAGGTGGACTCAAACTCTTCACCCACCCCTCCATCTGCATAGTGGTGAGTAGATAATGATCACTGGTGGGTGAACTATCCCTGCATGGTTTTATCCCGGGACAAACTCAGCACCTGTCCCCTCTAACCCAGTGAGAGCCGCGGTCTGCGCATGCGCGCACATTGTAAACAGACATGGCGCTGTGTAGAAGATCCCTCAGTTTAAATCTGTGGAGCTATTTCTACAAATTCAGCTCCCCTGTTGGGGTCAGGAGGATTTCTGACAAGGCTTCGTCCAAACCCGACGGCAGCAGCGGAGCAGAGACCTCGGGGGACCATGTTATCTACACACAGGAGCACTTTGCACTGAAGGAGTCCCTCAGAAAGGTACGGGATGCTAACCATGTAGCATGCTGTGACGTGACCATGAAAAGAAAGCTTGGTTAGCTCATGTGGTAGCCGCTAATGATTGTCATGTGTCAGTGTTAGTCAGTGTTGTCTGTGAATATGTGTTTATAACTCTGGATGTGACAGTGAAAGCCTCATGAGAGCAGGGAGAGGAAAGTGGGTGAGAGGTCATGATAACAAACAGTGGATCACCTCTAACCAACCATGTCTACCTTCACTCCAGTGTGTAAGATTTAGATCAGAGGGAACTATTGGCAGAAATATAATGTAGAATAATCCTCATGATGTTTTCACTAGTTCATTTCATCTCAATTGTATGAATTGCAGTTTTCTTTACAGTTTTTTCTGACTTTGTAGCTTCAGCGCTGTTAAACAAGTAGATATATCAAACATAAACCAACCTGACATCGATCATCCTGATAACCTGCACTCTGAAGCTAGTGATCCACTGGATCTGTGAACTGTAGCTACTCCTACGTGACCACATTAATAAAAGATGCAGATTTGCTAATAAAGATAATCATCGCTGTGGTCCTGGAGAGGTGACATTTCACTCAAATAAAATGTGCATGATATGATCACACAACGGGAATAGAGAAAAGACACACTTGACACAATAAAAACATTTAAAAGTCAGGCTAATGTAAATAAACTCAAATCATCACCGACTGGCTATTTTTTTGTTTGATGATCAAACTAATAAAAATGTGATGCAGATTTTCTAGGAAGTTAAAGTGATCTCAGACTTTTGCCAAAGCAGAGAGAGGAGGAGGAGAAAAGTAGGTCTGGTGTGATTAGGTCTATCAGACTGAATTGTTCAAGGTTATGTTTTTGTCTCTGTTTGTTTGTTATGTTGTTGTTAGTCAGGATTATGCTAAACCTAATGGACAGTCCAGGATTTTTCTTGAACATTGTTTGAGGATGTTTTTCAAAATGTCCGTTGTTTTGTAGGAGCATAACTCATTGATCATGATGGAAGAAGTCAAGGATATGTAGAGGTCTGATATTTATGAGTGTGTGCAATTTGGTGCAGATGCAAATAATCTGGATCTAGTGAATTTATAATAGTTTCATATGGGGACTGTCTGGCCTTGGTGGAGGTATGCGTTGTCTGAGTGTCATTCTAGTTTATAATCATAAGAAATAATAAACAGTGTTTGGATCATTTTTCTAATAAAAGGGGTTAAGTTTTTATTTCCATTTACTTTCACTGAGTCTTCTCGTGCTATTCTGGGCTGTAATAATCAAAATCAGAGTGAAATTCTGTTGGGAATCAGAGTCTTGTTGAATTAAGATGAAGCGACAATATTTATGAGCCTATTTTTTGAATGTGACAAACCCTCCCTCTGTTAGTTAGAAGTTCTGTATTAAAATCAGCGTGGAGACATATATCATCGTCATTTATCATAAATATAAAAATAAAAGCTCTTGATTATTTGCCACCATAGGTCAGTATTTGAACTGTTTTGATGTTATCTTGAGCATAATCAGCTCCAGAGCAGGTTAGAGGTGCATCGTACTCACCATAGTGATTCACCTCAGAAAGAAGTGAAACTGCTTCAGAGGAATACAAACCTGAAGCTACTACCTCGCTAACCACAATCCCTGCTTTGTTGTTCAAGCTTTTAATGTGTTTATTATCCATCCTACACTCCAACATCCCTCCTTTAATGTCGGCCCACCATCTCTGCTCTTTCGCTGGGAAAGCTACAGTTTCATCAGTCAGTTCAGATTGTTAACATCTGGTGGTACATGGCGGGAATCACTGAGTGGCTGACACAGGCTTGTGTTTGAATATCAACGCACTCTGGACTCACAAGCCTAAAATAATGTAAACATAATTAGAGAAATGAAGCGACGGGTCCGCAGACTTTAGAAAATTTAGGTCGGTCCCGCAAACAGAGCAATTTCATGAGCGATTTTCATTTATTGGAATTTGACGCTATAAAAAGTATATGCTTTGTTGCTTTCCTGGTAGCATGTATCTCTGAGGTGGATGTTTACTTAACAGTATTATGTTGCTTCAGAGAGCATTTGTTGACTGTGTGAAGATGCTGTTGGACCTATTTACACTCAGCGTCATAGTAAAGCATGCTTTTGTTCCCTGCTGTAAGACAGCAAAAGCCTTCTGCCCTCTCATTCTCCTCCAAATGCTGAATCCAACATTGCAAGTGTTACATCTTTTACAAAATTATGTTTACTTTGCCTCAACAAAAATGCAATGAAAATAATGGGGCAAGAAATATCAAAGGTAGTATTAGTAATCAGCCTGACTCATAGGATATATTTATATTACCAGACAGTGATTAGAGACAGAGGCTCCAACTAATATAACTCATAAGTAGAAATGTTGCGGTAAAAGGAGGGAACCTTGTTGAGTGACTAAACCTTCAAAGGATATGAGAAGGCTGGAAAAAAAGCAGCAGTGGGAATATTGGGAAGGACCAAAACGTTAAAAGGAAATGCAGAACAATATATTGGCAGTGCAGGAAAGGGAGGCAGCGAGGTTTATTAAAAGAATTCACTCGAGGGTAGTGTGTTTTTAGATGTATACAGAGGGGGTTACGGGAAATCCTGTAGTCTCCTGTCAGTCTAGTTGTGTGTCTCACATAGAGGTGTATATTCATGAGCTCATTTACAGAGCATCCCCATCAAACTGGCCACTGTGTGCATGCGCAAGGTCATCTGCTGTTGTTAATGAAGAAAATGAGCCAAAAGTGATATCCGCAGCGTTTCTAGGAAGAGGCTATTCATGTGCAGCCTTCCTTGGTTCTAAACTGGGATTTCCCTTCATACAGCAGAACCATTGTCGCCAGGCACATCTAGGATGTTAGGAATGGGCATTTCAATCAAAAATACAATTTGGCACTTCCTGGGAACTAATCAACCATTATTTGTAGAGTTTTAAAATAAAATAAGACACATGTATTTGATTTTTTAAAATATATAATTTCTTTGTTTTAAAAGTCAAAAAAATCATCCTTACATACATGAGATACTGGTATATGCCTTTATGATTCCATCCTGTGGAATTTGTTGTTGTTTGATTATTACACCAGAACAGCTTCTTATTCCAGCAGGTAACATTTACAGCCCTCAGAAATTGGATTTTGGACGAAAATCTTAAATGATATTAAAGTTTGGGTCGGATTGTGTCATGTTACTATACTTACTTTTTTATACTGCACATGTCTGTAATTGAGGAAAACAAGCAGTAACCATGCGTGTGAGGGACAGAGTAACACAAACTCAGTACAGCTTACCTACATTGAACACTGAATGCCTGTTGGGTTCGGGTCAGTTTTCTCTCGGCCTCGAACGGGTTCAGACTAAAAATCACACTCTTGGTGTTGCTACTACTACTAAGATTCAGTCATATCCAAAGTATAAGTCTGAGAAATAACCAACATCACTATGTCATGAGAAAGTGACACGACATTTACCACTTGCACTGAAGACATTTTTATCTCTTTACTGTTGACCTGCTCTTTGCCAGTCATTTTGCATTTCTTATGCAGCCCAGTGTCTTTCTTCATGTGGGCTGCTTAGCGATTAGGTCAGACTCTCCTGACTTTACATCATGCAAGACCTGATAACACAATGTTCTTGACCCTGTCTTACTACATGGCAGACCGGTGATGTGAAATTTTCTGGTATGCAACACAGATCCAAATAACCTTTGTAAAGAGATGTAGGATTACTCCCTGATGACCTTTTATGTTTCTATTCCAACAGCTCATCTTCCCTCCCTTCCGGTCTTCAGCATTTGAACTTTGAACACAGTTGACTTTATTTCAGGGACAAAGGGAAACAGGATCTGTATGTGCTGGTTGTTGTGTTTAAATGTTTATTTTCACAGATTCAGGCCCAGACATG